TTTTGCATAGCTTTGGAAAAAAAAAAAAGAAAAAAGTTTGAATAACTGATAATAAGCATGAATGCAGATTTTTGTAGTCCTTCATAAAAACATCTTAACAATTTTGTTTAGTAAAATGTAACTTATTAGCGACCTTTCATTTTTCTACTAAAGAAATACAATACCTGAAGTATTTTAGAGTCTAACTTCTCTGAGATTCTATGCAGGAACATATTATTCATGCACAGTGTATTGCAACATTTGAGGACCAAAAGAATAATCTCTTTATAGTAACTACTGTCTCTTTCAACTGTTTATGTTCTTTTTTTTTTAGGACACTGGTGTGGGCAAATCAAGTATCGTGTGGAGATTTGTAGAAGATAGCTTTGATCCCAACATCAACCCAACAATAGGGTAAGAAACTAAATAAAGTAAATGTGACTTATTCAAGAATAAAACCAAATTGTATGAATATATATATTTACCTCCTGCATAGATCACTTGAGGATTCTCCATGTGACTGCAGCCTTAATTAGCTCATAAGCTACCTTAGGAAATGTAGGAGTGTATTTGGCACTCCTGCAGCTTCCATTTTCATATGTAAGATCTGCACCCATTTTGTATTGTTAATCTAAGCTAACAAACTCCTACTAGGAGTCCTGGGTTACAAATAAATTACACCATAAGATGCTTCTGTTGTAGGAACAACATGTTCTTCTCATGCACTACTTTTAAATTTTGCAGTCTAATTATTAGGCAACCACATGATTATTTTTAATTTTTTTTTAGAGTCACATACCAGTGTCCTAGGTTTTTGAAGGTAGTTAATGCTAATTCAGGCTGTAGTTCTATTAATGAATTAGTTCTAATGTTATACATCCATATGCAATACACACTTGTAAGTAGCTGATGAAATTGTTAATGCAATTGGTCTCACCTCAGAGTAGCAATGTTACTAAGCTCAAATCTTCAAATGGGCAGAAGGAAGGGCAAGCATCAGGAATTCTTGGAGTGGTTGGATCTTGTTATTTCTTTTGCTGTCTTTTTTTTGCTTTGCAAGTGTTTTATGGGTTGCTTTGCTCAGAAGTAATTCTTTACAGGAGGACATGACTTCACTTGATGCTGAGAAGTGCTGGGGGGGGGGTGGTGGTGGTGTCAATGCAACTTCCTGTCTCAGGTGTCACACAGGCTCTACTACAGATTTGACCAGAAAAGATCCTGCTGATAACATCAGCTGTGTTTCATCCTGTCCTTCTAAAAAAAGTGGTTCACCTCTCTCTCTCTCTCTCCTTCCCCCTACACCTCCTCCCCCTGCCTTTTTTTTTTGAGTGTAAATACTGGTATCAAATTGCAAGATACTCTGTAAGAAGATGCTTTTGTTTAAATTGCCCTGTTAACAAAGGTAGCCTTTGAGATAGATTGCTAAATAGTTTTCTGAGATCCTCAAGGGTTGAACTTTCTTAGTTACTGTCAGTTTAGCTACAGTAGAGGTTCTTTTTTGGAGGACCATGAAACTGATGTGTGGATAGTAGTTATGTTGCTGTTCACTTCAGCAGGGGATCAGGCTGTCTTAAATACTTAAGTTCAGGTTTGTAGAAAGTTCAGACCTACTGCCTGTAGTGATACCAACTGCAAGCAAAACTTCTTTAGGTGGACACTATTGAAAGATCCAGTTGTTTTTCTCATTACCTTATGGATTGAGAAATTGGTTATCTGTCTTCATTCTTAGTCATCCAGATACTTTTAAAAACATAGTCTGTTAAATAGTTGGCTGATATGGATACTATCTACAGTGGCCCAAAGTTAGCCATTGTGTTGATGCATGCAGTTGCTGGAGGAGGAAAAAAAAAAAAAAAAAGATTAAAGTCTGCTTAACTAGTAGGTGACCAGGTATGGTAACACAGACTTCGGTTTTGTAAACACGAGGTGCCTATTTATTTGGCTGGGATGCTCTGTTCTGTAGTTAGACATGTGTCACCACACATCTAGACTACATGGGTTAAATGTTTGAGTAACCCAGTATGGAATTTGCATTATGTCTCCAATCACATGTGAAATGCAGCCTCCTCAAGTCTGCTTTCAGATTCTAAAATGCTGTGCTTGATGGCTTTAGGCTCTGCATGTCTGCAAAACTGTCTAAAGCTGCAGAGCAAAGATTGTGATCTGTGATGCTTCTGTCCTAGAAAAGTAGAATTTTCTATGATCTGGAGAAAACTCAGGAGAAGGTTTTGTGGTGGTGGTTTTCTTTTTTTCTTTCCTCCTGGGGAAGGCCTAAGACTGGGTTGAACTTCATCAAATCTTGTTGTCTTCCCTCTAAAGTCAGTTTCTTTTAATCTAGTATTTTTCTGACTGTGTAGTGTGTGGGTTGAGTTCTTTTTTTTTTTTTTTTTCCCCTCCTTCCTCTGGTGTAGCACCTATCTATTTGAAGGCAGGAACCCAAAGAGTTCACACACACGTGTCTTCCCAGGGGAATGTCTGTACCACATACTGTGTAGTAACTTAAGGTGCTGTTAGAATATGCTAGCCATTATGGTAATGAGGCTAATGTGTAGAATGTAATTTGTCTTCATGGGTTTAATGACAGCACTGGGATTAGTATACTTTCTTGAAGTGACAGACTGAAAATCTGTATCTTTTAGCAGTCTTAACAAAATCATCCATTGGTCTGAGGACTTGGTATTTTGCTGGTTTGTTGTAGTAGTGTAAATGAATCAAAGCTTACTCAAATGCAGGGATTGTGTGAAGCTCCAATAAGACGCTGTCCCACAATTTTAAGCAAAATAATTTTGAAACTTTTTCTATACATTGTTTTTATTTCCTAATTGAGGAGGTGGAAGGAACAAGGTAAGTATTAGAGAAGAGTTTTAAGCATCTTGCAAAACTAAAGCTGAGAACGTTTCTATGTTTACTCCCGGGTTTTTGAGTTCATGAGATACAATCTTATGTTTCCTGTCTGGTTTCCATTCCTCTTAGAATTATCTGAGCAATCACACTTTGTTGTTATGAATGTTCATCATTCAGATTCAGATATGGGCAGCTGTAGAAGCCCTGTCAGAATTCTGCAACTTCTGTCCTCTCAGGATGATGAGGACACATTCTGCTTTGTCTCACCAGCATATATCCCTAGGTATTGCAGAATATCTAGTCTTTCATTTTAGCATCAAAAAGAAATTATGAATGAGTATAAAACTACTTTCAGGTGCATCTTGTTCACTTAGTTTTAGTGCTTATTTGGCTGGGAGAAATTTAGTAGGGATAATGCCTGTAAGTCATCAAGGAGAGCTGTAGTTTGGAGGTTTTTGTTGACCCAAAAGTGGTTTGTCTTTGAACTGTTTCGTCTCTTCTTTTTTTCTTTTCCATTGACGTCTGTCACAATGAAAGCTTCCACTTGTCAAAGAATTTCAAGTAATATTTAACCTCTACTGTCAGCTACCATTTGGTATGTTTAGTTGTGATGTGAATTAGAGCAACACAGCTGTTCAGTTCAAGTTGACTATACAGGGATGTTTTGGCTTATAGAACTAAGTAAGATAAATTTTCAGTGAGAATATGTGATTTAGGAAATTGTTACCATATTGGCCAAAGAATTCAGAATTGATGCTTGATTTACAGCAGTCTTAAGGAAGTGGAAGTCTTCGCTGTGCTTTACAACAGATACTCCTACCACTTTATTTTCTGCTATTCATTGCTAAAATACATCATCTGGTTAACTGTGTTGAAATGCATTGCAGTTAGAATCTTTCTTGCTGCAACCTTATATTTATTTTCTTAAAAGAGTAATCGACTTTGGAGATTGATGTACTATCGGGAAAACCATCTGAGCTTAAGGAATGGGGAGAAGGTTACCTCTTAACGGTGGAAAGTGTTGTGTAATTGTTCCTTCTCTTTATTTTAAATATAGATAGCTGTTTTGTCCTCCTATAACACTGAAACATGTCCAAAGACCCCAGTTATATTAACTAGTGTCGTGGACATCATTAATATCTATGCCCTGGTGGTACTTAAGATCCAAGATAAACTGCAGTTCAGAGTCTTGGACTCTGGTATTTAATGTTGTTGGTCATGCCGAAAGACTCTTGTTCTCTGACTTTGTATCTACAGCAAGCTTAGCATACTGTAAGAAACTCCATTACAGGCCACCTCCAGGGTCCTATCCTGCATCCTGTCCAAAACTGACAGTAGAACAAGTCTGGAAGTCCACAGTATTTTCAAGTGACAGGAATTAAGCATGTAATAGGCATTCAAGATTATAACATAGGATCTTACCTGCTTAAAATTATGGCATCTATAGCTCCTATTCTACAAGGATTTGAATTCAGTGTGTGGCTTTTCTAGTAAAAAAATGTGCTTACAAGTAATAGATATAGCAAAGAACTCCCTCTTCTAGGAGATTAGGTCTCTGAATTCCTGCCCATGTGGGAAATGATCTGCTTCACATGAATCAGTGTAAATAAAGCACAGAAGTACTTCACAATATTTTGCAATATTTTACTGTAAAACATCTAAAAGTTGGGGGGGTGTGGTGTGCAGCTGGAGCATAGGGAGAGATTTTTTTGTTTGTCTTCTAGAAGTGCAAGAGCCTCTGCAGGCTGAAGTATACAATGACAGACGGGATTTGGGAGCTGTACAGAGTGCAGACCACAAGCAAGTTACTCATTATTGATTTCTCTGTCCTCTTAACACCTAGCGATAGTGATATGAATCTCCCATATTTTATTCCCAAGTATGGCCTTACAAACATTTATCTGAATGTTAGTACAGAGATAGAAAAAGCTGATGCAAAGGGATTTCCCTCTGGAAGTTTCCGGTATACACTGAAGTGATTTGCTGTGATGATTCCTCCACTTAGGAAGAATGTTGTTAAAAGGCTGATCTTCCTGATTTTTTTTTGGTCATACATACTTTATTTTAATCAAAAGCTTATGAACAATAAAAGCTTATAATTTGCATTTGTGTTCCTTCTGTTTTGTTAGTTGAATTTCATCCTCTGAAAGGAAATTTCATCCTCTAAGGTCCTTTTTTATCATTTTTTTCTTTTTTTCATTTTTTCTGAGGCCATTGGTTTTATGTGTATGTGTGGGGAAATCACTTTTATTGGAATGTAAACCTTTTTAAAAGTTCATGGTGGTAATGTTCTAAGAATGTATTTACGTTCTGAAAAGCGTAAGCTGTAATTTTTTTACAGAGCCTCATTTATGACCAAGACTGTACAGTATCAAAATGAGCTGCATAAATTCCTAATTTGGGATACAGCTGGACAGGAGCGGGTAAGTAGAATCAGTATCTGTGGTGATAGTTCTGGCTAGAGTTTGGGTTGCTTTTCAACCCCACCCCTGGAAGTCACAATGTGATCTGGTTTTACAAATATCCGTTAGAAGGTTTGTTTTCTATGCAAGTTTCTATAAAGATATGGGTGCTGTAAATATATTTTTATTTTTCATTGTTATCATGGTTAAGGATGATTACCTAAGACGAGCAGCTTATAAAACAGAAGACAGTGTTTAGATTCACTGAAAGGGAGTGCCATTTCAAGAGAAAACAAGGTGGGGAATGCCAGCAGCTGTCTCTAGTACCATTTCTATAGTTGAGTTTTAAACATTCAACTGCAGTATTTGCACAGTGCAACTGGCAGCATGAGAATCCAAGTGAAATGAATGATCATGTCTCAGTACAAGTAAGGCCTTGATTCTGGAAAAAAAAAACCATACCACTGCTAACACATTCTATTAGCTTCAGTGTTAAGGTTATGCTTTGGTTTAACCTGGCAGGCAGCTGAACACCACACAGCTGCTCGTTCACTCCCCCTGCCCCCTCAGTGAGATGGGGGAGAGAACTGGGGGAGGAAAAAAAAGTAAAACCCGTGGGTTGAGATAAAGACAGTTTAATAAAACAGCAGAGGAAAAAAATAACAATAATAATAATAGCAACAATGGTAAGACAATATGCAGAATATACAAAACAAATGATGCACAGGGCAATTGCCCACCACCTGCTGACTGATGCCCAGCCCGTCCCTGAGCAGCAATCACTTTCCCTCTGGCCACCCGAGCATGATATCATATGGTATGGATTAGCGCTTGGGCCAGCTGGGGTCAGCTGTACTGGCTGTGCCCCTCCCAGCTCCTTGTGCACCTGGCAGAGCATGGGAAGCTGAAAACATCCTTGACTAGTCTAGGCAGTACTTAGCAACAACTGAACATCAGTGTGTTATCAACATTCTTCTCTTACTAAATCCAAAACACAGCACTATACCAGCTACTAGGAAGAAGATTAACTCTATCCTAGCCGAAACCAGGACAAGTGTTATGGGTGATTATGTATCTCTTACCATTTTGTAAAGTTTTACTTCTCAAATCTGATAGTGTTGGAAACTATGTCAAGAAATCTATCTTGAAAATTAAATTTTAATTTGGTAGTTTGGGGTTTTGATTTCTGACGCATGCATAGTTCTGAGGGGAAGCAACAAAGTTTTCAAGAAAATGACTAGTCAAATGAAACCACAATTACTTTATTTGCATAATTTGTACTTAGAATTTAATAGGAAAACTTTGCTAGTTAACTTGCTTGTTTATGGATTACTAGTAATGTTGATAGAAATTATAGTAGCTGTATTAACAGTGCTTATTCTTGCTGTTTCGTGACTGTTAACTACTGGCAACTGTCAGTTACTCATGATGAGTTTATTTAGGATGTGATCTAACCGTAACAAAGGTATACACCAGAGCTGTCTCCCGTAAGAGTCAGTTTGCTCGGGCTGGGTTGTTACTTTAGGATAATAACTGGCAAATGCAGCTGTACTGTTTTTCAGGATTGGCTCAAGAAACAGAGAGCCCAAGCAAAAAAAAAACCTCAAAACAAAAAAACACCACTGCCACCATCAAAACCTCTGCACCCCTGTCGTTTGACCTTTTGGAGTCCTGGTGGAACTGACTTGCTAGGTTTTTAGCTTGCTAACAGCCTTGATGGCTAGAAAGTAACTGAAGTGTATTTGTATTGCATTGCAGTGTTTTAGATTTTTGAATGACAATTGATTTCCTTCCAGCAGCACCATATAAAGCAACCTTAGGTTGTCAGGGATGTGTCCCAGGGATATGTCCAATAATATCCATGTTATCAGAAATATCAGAGTCCTTCCATTGCTAGCAGTCAGTCAGCATTTGCTGTAATTTGTCTTAAGTGAACATCCTAGCCCATTCTGAAATGTTAATGCTGGAATGTGAGTCTTCTGAGAGGATATGTCCAATAATATCCATGTTATCAGAAATATCAGAGTCCTTCCATTGCTAGCAGTCAGTCAGCATTTGCTGTAATTTGTCTTAAGTGAACATCCTAGCCCATTCTGAAATGTTAATGCTGGAATGTGAGTCTTCTGAGAGGTAGAGTATGAATTTTGAGAGGCTGGTACTCTTAGAAAGCTTTTTAAACATGCCTGCCACCACCTG